TTTTTCCTTGTATGTATAGACTCATTCGTCATGATAATTGGACATTGTACTATAGGGGTCCGGTTTTTAGGATCTGGTTAAATGCTGGGACATAAGAAAATGTATCTACTATATGAAAATGAAGATAATGTGTAAGGTTAACATTGTAGTCTCCTTGACTGGCTCAATAAACTGACACAATAAACTGACAGATGCACCTTTTTCTGGCATTTGTTTGCATCTATATGATTGACTGATGTGATAATGATTTGGACTCTTGAATAAAAAAAATAGTAACTGTAATGTGTACGGAGATGTTGGTTACAACAAGTTGTAAAGCTTGTACAAGTCTCGTGTAGTTCATTTGTTTAACAAACAACATATTAATATGTGTATATTTAAGTTATAGTTTTTCTAAATTTTTTTTCCAGGTTCAGAAAAATATTGAGGAGCAAACACATCAGCATGTTGATGCTCGCTCAAAGGCTAGGTTTGTGTTTTATTATCTGTTGTTCTATGAATGGTCTTCAGATTTGAAATATTGCTAATGGATGATGTCTTCAAATTTACTCCAGAAATATTAGCTCTAATGATGATATAAATATCTCTACTTACCAATTGAACAATACTGAAGAAGAATTAGATTGTAGTTGAAGATAAATTTTGATTTCGTATTTTTTAACATCTCAGCTAGTTTAATATGTTTTTCGTTCACAGATTTGACGGGGTAGCACCAGAGCCTCGGAAAGGAATTAGAAGTGGCCATGTTCCTGGAAGCAAATGTCTCCCCTTTGCCCAGGTAGAAAGAGAAAGAGAAGCCTGTAAATATAACCTATGATTTATTTTAGCGTTGACCTTTAGAACTATGTATTTTTATCCCTTTGCAGATGTTAGATGGGTCACAGACACTCTTGCCTGCAGACGAACTCAAAAAGAAATACGAAGAAGCAGGTTAGAAATGTTCTTGTATTATATTATCTGCATTGAAAAAAAAATTAAAAAAAATTGTTAGGCATTTTTCGGAGACATACTTTGATGTTGTGGATGTCATATTTGACTTGAAAACAGAATTACAATACAATTCAGTTCGGTTATTCTGTGGGGTTTACAGTTTGTTTATTTTATGTGCTGTTGCCTTAAAATAATCTGACGAAAAACTCAAATCTTTTGCAGGAATCGCGTTGGAAAGCCCCATAGTGACGTCATGTGGTACTGGTGTGACTGCATGTATTCTTGCATTGGTGAGTCTATTTTCTCGTTTTAGTTTATTCTAACATACACTCCAAACTAACAAAAGCACCTAATTCTTGATTTTAGATTTCATTGGCTTATTTGGGTTTGACTGGAAACAATTAGGGTTCTAAATGAATCGATTCGGATTCGTTAAAATATTCTAAGATTCGAATTCGTATTCAATTTGTACACGAACTCATTTTTTATTCATATTCGATTCGTTTAGAATATTCGAACATATTCGACTCGAAATTCGTTTCAGAAAAATACTATAATTAAAAAGAGATTATAGTTACAAAAATATTGTTTATGTTTTTCCTATCCAATTTGAGTTGTTTTCAAGGAAAATTGTTATTTGGGATGTTTTTTCTTTTTATGTCATAAAAACATTAGGAAATAATAACATATATATATATATATTTGCAATCAAGTTTTATATTATATAATTAATAAAATTTATATAATTATCGTTAACGAATTGAATATTTGATAATTTCGAATCGAATATCTACAAATTTGAATTCGGATTCAAACATAAAACATTTTTCGTGTTCTAATATATTCGAATTTGAATCACGAACATCAAATCGAATAAAAAAAAAATTGCTTTGTCTACAAGCCTAGAAACACTTTCTTCCCACATTATATCCTTTCATGGGTTAATTGCAAAAAGATCCATTTGGGTCTGGTGTAGTTGCAAGAAAATCCAACGATCTTCCAGAATTGCT